ACATAGGCCACACTAATGTTCTTCTCCAGCAGAGGGAAGTATTGATGTGCTCATCTGAGGTCAGTCTGTTACAGATACCATTTTAAAAGGCTTTTGTTCAAAACAAGCTTTAGAAATATCAAAAATAATAAATTAATTTGCCGTGAAGAAAGGGGTGAGAGTAGTTGCTAATAGTGCCAAATGTGGTTTCTAAGTCTCATCGATCCATCAATTTAAAGACTGAAAAGCAAAAGTTTATTTGAGATTGACTGACCACTTCTTGCATCTATTTGCTCAAACACTACGTTCTGTAGACATAGAAGTTTCTGCACTAGGCACAGTGAGGTTAGAAAGCTCATTCAATATCCTCAAAGTGAGTTATGATCTCATATCTTTGAATGGGATTGAATAAGTGAGCAGTACTGAGCATCTTTTTAGTGCACAGACAAGTAAAACCACATTCACTGCTGTTGGGTCAAACCGGTCAGACAATATGAACCAACACCCATATAATCCACTGAGATCAGGAGAGGGTTTGTATGACAGTCCTATTCTCTCAAGGTGCATTCACTGAATACACTAATGCTGAGTCCGTTTGACAAAAACAAAAAAGTGAAGCTTCTGGTAATACACATAGTAAGATAATACATTAACTATCACTGAAATACTAAACGTCTTCAAATGAGTGCAGATAGTGTGAAAAGGTATCAAACAGCGTTAACATCAGAGTTATAGTCAACTAAAACTAAAACCATAAAGACATTTTCCTTACTTGAAATAAAATAAAATATTTTTTTTAACTTAAACTTTATGTCAGCTAGTTGCTAAGGCAAAATTGATTCTAAAATAACTAGAAATAAGCAAAAAATAATAAATACTATAGATACATGTAAAAAAAGAAAAGAAAAATGAAAATGACAAAAACAGAATTACTAAAACTTGAACGAAAATGAAAGAAAATGGAAAAAATAAAATATTGAAGTAAAATCTCATTTCAAAATATTAACAAAAACTTTAACAGTATTTCAGTGAGGTTCAGGAAAGTCATATAGCAAAGGTTTGTGTGACTTCCAATGGACAAACACAATAATCAATCTAATGAGTCATTAAGAAAGTCATTGGCAGCGTAACATCATATTGATTAGGACATATCTTCCGTACCTGTAATGAGGTTTGGAAATGTCATTAATCACTATCGGAAGCTTTAACTGGTAGATACAGTTAGATTTTACAAAGGTTGTGCCTCCAAATAAAAAATACCAGTCAGTATTGTTTTAGTATTATAATATAATAAATTATTTTCATTAATATATTAAATGAGCCAAAATATATTTTTCTATTTTGATTTTATGTTTTTAAATTTTTATTTTTATTTATTTATTTTTTTTATTTTTTTTTTAAATATTACTATTTAGGGTTAATTTTGTTTTATTTCAGCTATAGATCCCCAGAGGAACAATTCCACTCATTCTCTACTATAGAAGAGGTAGAATTGTATGAACTTGTTAAACCAACAACATGTATGTTAGACCCTATTCCATCTAAGCTCCTAAAAGAGGTGCTTCCAGAAGTCATAGATCCTCTTCTGACTATTATTAATTTGTCATTGTCATTAGGATATGTCCCCAAAACCTTCAAACTGGCTGTTATTAAGACTCTCATTAAAAAATCACAACTTTACCCCAGAGAACTAGTTAATTACAGACCGATCTCGAATCTCCCTTTTCTGTCCAAGATACTAGAAAAGGTAGTATCCTCACAATTATATTCCTTCTTAGAGAAAAATGGTATCTGTGACTGTGAGGATTTCCAGTCAGGATTTAAACCGTATCATAGTACTGAGACAGCTCTCATTAGAGTTACAAATGACCTGCTCTTATCATCTGATCTTGGTTGTATCTCTCTATTAGTGCTACTGGATCTTAGCGCTGCATTCAACACTATTTACCATTCTTTTGAATAGACTAGAAAACTTTGTTGGCATTAGTGGAAGTGCATTAGTGTGGTTCAAATCTTACTTTTCTGACCGCCATCAATTCGTAGCAGTGAATGAAGAGGTATCATATCAAAAGTGAAAAAAGTGAAGTGACGTGTGGCGACCCATATTCGGAATTTGTTCTCTGCATTTAACCCATCCAAGTGTACACAAACATTAGTGAACACACACCTGGAGCAGTGGGCAGCCAATGCTGTGGCACCCGGGGAGCAGTTAGGGGTTCAGTGCCTTGTTCAAGGGTCTCACCTCAGTCATGGTATTAAAGGTTGAGAGAGTGCTGGTTATTCACTCCCCCCACCGACAATTCCTGCCAGACCTGAGAGTCAAACCCACAACCTTTCGTGTTACAAGTCCGACTCTCTATCCATTAGGCCACGACTGCCCCCATCGATCACAAGTGCAGTATGGAGTACCTCAAGGCTCAGTACTAGGGCCATTACTTTTCACGCTTTACATGTTACCCCTGGGAGATATCATCAGGAAACATGGTGTTAGCTTTCACTGTTATGTTCATGATACTCAGCTCTATATTTCTTCGCGGCCCAGTGAAACATACCAATTTGAAAAACTAACGGAATGCATAGTCGATATAAAAAACTGGATGACTGAATTTCTTACTGCTAAATTCTGAAAAAACAGAGGTGTTAATTATTCGGACCGAAAACGTCTGCATGTAATAACCTAGAACACTCTCTAAGACTTAATGGCTGCTCTGTCAATTCTTCGTCATCAGTTAGGAACCTAGGTGTGCTATTTGATAGCAATCTTTCCTTTGAAAGCCACATTTCTAGCATTTGTAAAATTGCATTTTTCCATCTAAAAAATGTATCTAAATTACGACCTATGCTCTCAATGTCAAATGCAGAAACGTTAATTCATGCGTTCATGACCTCAAAGTTAGATTATTGTAATTCTTTATTGGGTGGTTGTTCTGCACGCTTAATAAACAAACTCCAGCTGGTCCAAAATGCAGCAGTTAGAGTTCTTACTAGAACCAGGAAGTATGACCGGTTCTGTCAACACTGCACTGGCTCCCTATTAAACATTGTATAGATTTTAAAATCTTGCTTATTACTTATAAAGCCCTGAGTGGTTTAGCAGCTCAGTATTTGAACAAGCTCTTATTGCATTATAGTCCTCCATGTCTGCTGCGGTCTCAAAACTCTGGCAATTTGATAATACCTAAAATATCAAAATCAACTGCTGGCGGCAGATCCTTTTCCTATTTAGCACCCAAACTCTGGAATAAGCTACCTAACATTGTTCGGGAGGCAGACACACTCTGTCAGTTTAAATCTAGATTAAAGACCCAGCTCTTTAACCTGGCTTACACATAACACACTAACACATTTCTAATATTCAAATCCGTTTTAATTCATTAATCCGTTAATGCATTAATTGGGACAACCGGAACTGGGAACACTTCCCATGACACCCAATGTACTTGCTACATCGTTAGAAGAATGGCATCTACGCTTATATTAGTCTGTTTCTCTCTAATTCCAAGGTCACCGTAGCCACCAGATCCAGTCTGTATCCAGATCAGATGGTCACTGCAGTCACCCGGATCCAGTACGTATCCAAACCAGATGGTGGATCAGCACCTAGAGACGACCTCTACAGCCCTGAATTTCAGCAGAGACCAGGACAACTAGATGAGCCCCAGATACAGATCCCCTGTAAAGACCTTGTCTCCTAGATGGCCACCGGGACAAGACCACAGGAACCAGTTGAGTCCTCTGCACAATGTGACTTTTCTGCAGCCTGGAATTGAATTGCTGGTTCGTCTGGTCAGAGGAGAACTGGCCCCCCGACTGAG